AAATATTGAGACCGTTTTCTGAAGGGGTTTCCAGAGACTGGATCTCTGGAAAACGCCTTAAAAAAGCTTTTCAAAGCCCAACTCTCATGCCATTAGAAAGAGGATCATGAAAAACCTATAAAAAAATGGTTCATAAAATTTTAGATCACTCATAAAGCTAAAGTCCGCTTGCTCTAGCAAAAAATGCCCACTGTGAAAGGCTTACTCTCAGTTTCGAAGTAAGGCGCTTATTCCCATTTTTAGAGTAAGACGTCTACTCTCAATTTTGGAGTAAGACATTTATTCCCATTTTGAGAGCAAAAAACTTACGCTCAGTTTCGTAGTTAGGAATTTAATTTGCTTTGTGCTGAAGTATATAGAATTAGATAGAAGGAAAGTCAGTCTTGCTTTAGAAGAAAACTACTTAGCATATTTATCTTTGTTTTTTTATTTTTACTCCAATTTTTAAAAGCATAAAAATTTACTTCGAAATTGACTTTGCCCCCGCTCCCTGCCTTCGAGGTATCGGGGCGCCCTTGAGAAAACAACAAACGACAACACTTGGAGAAATATGAAACAGCGAAGATCTATATTATATATTATCGTCCAAAAAAAAATATGCATGAAAAAAGACTATAAATCACATGGTGACTAAACAAACAATGCAATGGAAACAAATAGAAAAAACAAACGATACGATAACTTTTAATAATTGTTGAATAATCAAAACTGATTATGTTTTCTACGTTGTTTTTCTTGGAAATGGATAAGTCATCGATTTCGTTTGCTGTGGATGTGCTGCTGCTGATGGTTTTGAACGAAAATTTTTCTAAAATAAATTGTCAAAAAGTTGTTATATAAAGTTGAAATCTTAAAATATCTCTAATTTTTACAATACCAACGCTCAAGATAGGATTTGAAGCTGTCAAACTTTTAGAGATAATTCCACTAGGATGACACAAACACCTCAGAAAGAAAAGATATTAGAATAGTTTTCCTATTCTTGTCTTGACCGATTGGAAAATTTTCGCATCTATTTCCATCTCAATACAAAAAAACACGCGTTTAGATGTGCCTAGATGTCAAAAAATTCGTTCTTGATCTCGAAAGAACGAGTTTTTTTTCGAAAAAGCTAACACGTCCACATCGGTTTTAGAGTTTCGGAAAAAAGTAATTGAAAAACTGTAGACACGACTTTTTCCAAAAAAGAAAAGGAAACGCATTCAGACACACTTCTCATATTTGAAATATGTCTAATTTTTTAATATTTAGAGTGTCTCAACGCGTCTAATTTTGAAAATTTTAGTCAGTCTTTCACACATGTCTGACACGCGATGAGAAATACGTCTAGACCTATTTCAAAAACGAAAACGTTTTTTGAATGTACCATGGGCACGTTTTGATACTCGTTCTTCATCCTAAATTCCTTATTTAGTCGATATAGAGATCCTTTCATATTAGCTATGAACACTATGGTTTGGACAATCGTCAAGAATTATCCAAAAGTCGACTTTAAATTTTCAGACTCTGATGAGGAAAAAAAATTACAAAAAAAGTTTTGCGAAGTTATGTTTGAATAGAAAAAAGTGAGTAATCATAGCAAATAGCTTTGTAAAAATTCTACCATAGAAATGACTCATCATTTGGTGTGCGTCTAAAATATAAATTTTATTCTTCTTTTCAAAGATTTTTCTTCAGATGTGTCTAAATGCGCTTTTCTCTCTTTCCAAGATAAAAAGCACGTTGAGATACGTTTTTGAAAAAAATGAAAGAAAAGTGCGTCTGGATATTCGTCTGCATAGTAAAATTTTCCAGTGGAAATTCATAAGGACATTTAAAAAACACGAACTTTCTTGCTCAGAAGTGTCCAAAAACTCTGAAATGAGATATTTACTTTTCCTTTTGGTTTTTTCTGTTTGTTTGGATCATATATAGCTTCATTATCATCTGGACGTTTAAATTTTCCTATAATAAATATAGATAAATGATACATTGTACAAAATAATAAGAAAAAAAATCATTTTACTTTCAAATAGAATGCCACTATCAACCGCTGAATAATCAAATGGTTGAATTGTTGTTTCTCCTTCTTGTTCAATAATTTCATCATTATTTATTTCTCCTTCTTCGATCGCATCGTCATCATTCATAGTAGTTGCAGCAACACGTGGTTTTTTACGTGGTTGACGATCTTTATTCCGTTTTCGTTTACGAGACTAAAGTCAAAATTCAATGATATTTGATGTATGACAAGTTTAAGAAGAACATACTTGTTGTTGACTTAAGTAAATCATTTCAACATCTCCATTTTCATCATAGGATTTAGCATTACCATTATGAACATTATCTTGAGTGGTTGCTGAACCATTTACTAGAACACGACGACACATTAACTTACATAAGTAGAAACACAAGTAACACCGATGCTTCTCGTAATTACAAAAAAAAACAAAATGTTCTGCTATAGATTGTCTCGATCGTACTAAAGACTGTGCAACAAAATTGTATTACATACATTCAATATCTGCTTTTGGATAAAATATTTTCCATATTGGTTTAATTTCTTCTGATCTACGCAATGATTTTGGTAAATACTAAATGAAAAACGTGAAATGACGATAAGATATTCTTATGATATGAATGAAATAGAACGGCTGGAAAGTGCAGAATTTGTTCCGAGATCTTTTTAGCTGTAAAGTCTATACAATCCTAGTCAATTGAATTGCTTCCTTTACTTTTGTTTATATTGCTAAACTTTGTTTGCGTAATGATAGTTCCTGTACAAAAAGAATGTATACATCAGAACTCCGTATGGACTGAAAATTCTGAGTCCAGTTCAGTCCGAGTCCATGAAAAACAGTTTTTCCAGTCCATGGACTCTAAAATAGTAGTTCAGCCCAGTCCACAATACGAAAAACAATCTGTTTTTCCTCGATTCAAGTGAATCCAAAAATTTTATTCCGAATCCAGATCAGTTCATGGTCTTGGAAGTTTGAGTCCAGTCCGAGTTCATGAACTCAAAAAGTTTTCAGTCCAGTCCATACATGATGCTGCATTGCAGAGCACAATCTTTAGATAACAAACAATAGTTATAAGACGAAAGAAAAAATGTGGCGTACTACAATGTACATTTACATCTATAGTTGAAATGAAGACAAATTCATAATGGTGGCCGGTTATAATACACATGAATTTTATATGTAATGTCGTATTTACGATATACATTACTCATTGTACATTTCAATAATGAATAAAATATTTGTTCTAATAGCACTGGAAAATTTATTCCTATGGAGAAATGTTGATGTTGAATTGATTCTTTAACTGAATAACGAAATGAATTATCTAATGAAAATAAATATTTTACTGATGCTGTTGACATATACTTATTTACATTTGTCAGTCTGCACTGTTTACATCATACTTACTCTCAATTCAAAATCAACCCGATTCATTATTAGGAACAAATTTCCACAGTCCTATTAGAACAAATATTTCATTTATTATCTAAAATATACGATGAGTAATGCATATTGTAAACTGAGACATTATATATGAAACTAATGTGTATTATAATTGGCAGACAGAATTTATGAATCTGTGTCTTCATCTCAACCATAGATGTAAATGTACAGTTTAGTTCGCCACATTTTCTTCTTCTTATAACCATTGTTTTTTATTTGAAGATTGTGTTCTGCAGTGCAGCATCATTTATACATTCTTTTTGTACAGTAACTATCCTTACACAAATAGAGTTTAGTCATATAAACAACAAAAGAATCAAAAGTCAATTAGCTCGCAGTGTAAAGTATAGTGATAACTGAATATGTCTTTTAATTCGTTATCACATTTACTCCTCTTAGTCATTTTCTAAGGCATAAGTTGCGGTCAATCACACGTTAACTGTATAAAGACTAAAAGACACTAAAAGAATAGGAATAAAGTAAAACGAGAGAATAAACAGATTGTATATGTAGAAAGATATGAAATACAGTATTGAACGTTGAATTTTAGAATAGCGAAACAAATAGCCAAAAGGATCTAAGGACAGATTTTGGACAATATCTCACAGTTCTTAGATGAAAGTACTTACTGAAGCAAATGGATTTATTCTTGTCTGTGATCTATCATCTTCAATATTTTTCTCTGATTTCATCACTATTTCAATTGGATATTTCACTGATGTGTTACGTTCACGAATTTGCTCTTTAAATGTCTCTTCTAATATATCATTCAAATCTAAAAAAATACAGATTCTATCATTAGTTTTCTATTCTCTATATGTTAAAACAAACGAATTATTCTATTTTTTTGTTTGTTTTGAGAATACTCTTTCCTCTTACAAATAGGCATGGCATATTCTCACTTACTTGTTGAATAGGATATTTGTGGTTTAGCTTGTATATTATCAGATTGAATATGAGTAAATGTATTTGTTGATGGTAAATGATCACCTTGATGAGACAAATCGTGAGGACAATTTAGAACATTTTCAGGATCATATACAGGTGGTAATGTTAAAGGTACAATATGTTCTTTTTCTTCCTAGAATAATGAAAACAATAATGCATTATGAATGTGTCACATGTGATTAGTAAATAGTACTGTTTGAAGTTGTATATCCTTTGCTTGTAAAATAATTTGATGAATATCATGTAAGTTTTGTTGAACTAATACAGGAACAGGATTACAACATGCTCGAATACCTTGAGCTTCTCTAAAACAAAATGTCATTAACAATTACTTATTGCAAAAGTCTACCAAATAGATCTTACCTTGGCAAAATGTCGGATATTTGTAACAGCATATGGTTTGGTAATACGTAGCTATAAAAAAAAAAGATAGACATTTATCTTCCATACGAATAGTATAGAGTCACTGTATTCATCAAACGTTTTTAGCGAGCCAAACTCACTTTCTATGAAATGCTTTTTAGTCTTACAACAGAAGGGAGACGAAGGTTTCCGATTGTTTTTTGTCAATGTAAGAAAATTTTTCTGTCAGACAGTTTTTTGTGTGTACGTACGTCAATAGTCGAGAGACAAGCGAAATTTAAAAGATTATCTATCAATTATTTTAACAGATGACACGGCCAGATAACTCTGTTACTGTTGTGAAATTCCGTGACGAAATTTTGACATTTTCCTGTGTTTCTATTTTTTAAATAATAGCACGTACAGTTCCGTGGAACGCCTATAATTGTAAAGCAAACGTTTCTCTACAAACTGAGGCGTCCCGAGACTCTGTACGTTTCTTTGTTTAAACAATAAATGGTAAAAAATACTAAATGCTACTTTCCTAAAATGAAGCTTGAGAAGAGCGTTTTGTATTTACCATTTATTGATTTAAACAAAGAAACGTACAGAGTCTCGAGACGCGTCATTTTCTAGAGAAACGTTTGTTTTACAATTCTAAATATACCACAACACTGCATGTGCTATTGTTAAGAACATATAAACACAGAAAAATATCAAAATTTCGCCACAGAATTTTACTCTGGTAGCAGAGTTATTTGGCCGTGTCGCAGACAGCTTATTGGTTGTAGCTGCTTATAATCACTGTCAATCTCATGCAGTCCAACAGATCGTACCTGAGTAAGGATGAGAAACTAAAACGGTGAAAGTAAAAATCCAAAATGGCGAAGATAAATATGACTAAAAAATAATAATGGCAAAAAAACTAAAATGGCGAAAATGGAAACTGTAAATTGATTGAAACTGTAATCGTTCGTACTAAAGTTACTATTGATTCTAGCTTCACTTGTTCTTCAAAGTGCAGAAGTTTGATCATTTCAGGCGCATAAACTTAGAATAAAACGGATCAAACTACTGCATTTTGAAGAACAAGAGAAACTAGAATCGATAGTAACTTCAGTGCAAACGAATGAACTAAAGAGCATTACTATATTCGTTAATTGTGTGACAAAAGGTCTTATTCGACTAACCAATTTACAGTTTTCATCTTTTATCTCCATTTTCGTCATTTTAGTTTTTCGCTCTTACTCAGGCATACCTGGCAGATCAATTATTTGCAAGATTTTCTAATAAAAAAATCTTGAACAGAATAACTGAGCACAAATTTTATTTAATCTTGACTCTTTTAATATAAATTACCCTGTAGATTCATCTTCTTGTCTTGCTAATTTATCTCTCCAATAATAAAGAGATTTGAGAGCAGCTAATTGTCTCACATTAAACGTTTTACGACTTTTTAAGTATATTGTTTGATAACCATCTTGATCAAATTGAGGCTTTTTATATAACTAAAAAATAGACGATAACTATTTATAAGTATGAACTTAGTTTACGTACACATTTTTTCTTACCTTTTGACACACAATTTTTGATTTTAAAAATACTTGTTTGAGAAGTGTTGATTTTTGTTGTCGTACATCGAGTAAACGATTTCGTAATATATCGTAGATGTAGAGTAAATAATGAGTGTCTTCTCGAGCATAGCGAATACATTCGTCAGATAATGGCCTAGAGTAAATAATAAAAAAACTGACAAACTGTGATTGTGAGACGCAAAGCAAAGATTTGTCAATGTACAATAGATTTTACATTCCAAATAAAAAATTAAAATTTCTTCAGATAGACAGGAGTTATACACTGTGACTAGATCACATTCAGAAAGACTGAATTATTCTTGAAAAAGAGTTCAATAATTAAACTGAGAGTAGAATCGATTTGTTTAGGTGAATAATGTATCAAAGAAGAATAGTGGCGGATCCAGGAGTTTTTGGTATGCTGGATCTCAGCTTCAGAGCATGGAACCTACATGAAGTTTATGGAGGGTGATATTGAACCCAAATGATGAACTGCTTTTATCAACAAAATTTTTCGATCGGAGTTTGCGAAAAGAAAATAATTTTTTGGACCGCCGCTCCCTCAATTATTTTTTGCTTTTGGTAATATTCTATTTTTTAGAATTTAATCATAATCTACATCGAATTTCATCGACAGATTTCAAATTTCACCTAAAAATATGCATCCGTTCAGGAGTTATAACGTTTTGAATTTTTAAGACATGTTGCAAAAATTTTCGTAAAAATTCAAAACGTTTCAACTCCTGAACGGATGCATATTTTTAGGTGAAATTTGAAATC